CACCTTCCAGTACCTGATGGGGGCTTCTAAGAGAGATGGGGACAAACTTCTTAGCAGGGCCTGTTGTGACAGGACAAGGGGTGATGGCTTTAAACTAAAAGAGGGTAAATTTAGACTAGATATAAGGAATAAATTTTTTACAATGAGGGTGGACAAACACTGAAACAGGTTGCCCGGTAGGTGTAAGATCCCCCATCCCTGGAAACATTCAAGGTCAGGCTGGATGATGCCCTGAGCAACCTGATCTAGCTGAAGATGTCCCTTCCCATTGCAGGAGGGGGTGAGGGGGTGGACTAGACGACCTTTAAAAGTCCCTTCTGACCCAAACCATTCTATGATTCTGTTCTCTCAAACTGTTTGGGGCCTTAGGATATACCTTCAAGGTGGAAGTTCTGATCAGGTGTTTTTTATCATTCTTTTTTACCATAAGGGTAGTCAAATGTGGGAATAGGTACCCAGTGGTTGTGAAGTCTCCATCCTTGGAGATATTCAGAACTTGACTGGACACAGCCCTGAACAATCAGCTCTAAGTTGAAAGCTGACTCTAACTTTGAAGTTGGCCCTGCTTTTAATGTTTAGGAATAGATGATCTTCACAGGTCCCTTCTAAGCCAAGTTATTCTGTGATTCTATGAAACAGTCTGCATATTATGATAAAATTATCGGTTTTCCCCCCTCATTATTTAATCTCTTATGTAAGAACTGTAAAAGATTGTCCTCCACATATTTAGAAAGTTAGCATCCTTTGTGTCTTCATTTGTTTTGGAGGTCTCTGGCAGGATAAGTGAGGTGTATCTTTATCCCCAGAGTTACACCTTTTGTCTGCTTCACCTTAAAATATATACTGCCTCCAGCAAGCACATATCTCCCTCTGACATGAGTGGGAATGTTATTCTCGGTGGAGACACCTTATTATGTTGGCTGTAAATATAATGGTTATATCGATGCACTAGGCACTGGAATCTTCCTTCACCTATGTCTGAAAATGAGATTTCAGAGGTATGTTTGGGGTTGGTAGTGAGAATCTCGTCTTGTCCACCTGTTAACCCTATCCATATATGTCACCTAGGCATGGACTCATGCTGCTATGAATGTAAATAGAAACAGAAGGCAGTTCAATTGCATAGTGGAGGACACCAGCTGATGTTGTAAATAAATCATTAAATCTTCACTGGGTATTGCAAATAAGACAGTCTTGTACATAACTGTAAATTAACAAAGAGGAAGCCAAAACTGTAACAGCTTTGGGTATTTTCTTGAATTGTACATTACTTTTTTGTTGGAAGTTTATTTGATGTATAAACACAGACACATGAAGAAACTATTAAACTGGTTTGCTGGAAATCCCACTACTATTGGTTATTCATTGTAATGTGTCTGCTAACCTTACAGATTATTCTCAGAAGGAGTATTGCATTACAGGACTTCACTGCTCAGTTTAAACAGATGCCTTATTATGAAACACATTCTGAAAGACAGTTACAGACTAACACAATGTATTTACATTCATACCTACATTCATTTAGTGTCAGCATCACATCCGTGCTGTAAGCTTTACAGATGGAGACCTAAAACCACTTCAGGGGGAAAGTACTTGCAAGAACAGGCTAGAACACTTCCTGCAAAAAAAAGAGTGTTTACACTGTAGGAATGAATCTAAAACACATGTCTCTGTGAGGCCATGGCATGTTTAAACCTGGTTATTTGTCCTGTTTAGCTGCCGAATAAATGCATCATTTAGCAATGCTTTCACTTCTACCAGAGCTTGGAGAACACCAAGTATTCTGACAGATCGGGCAAGCAAACATTGTGTAAGTATGAAATTTGCTGTCAAAGGACAGTCATGAAAGAATTAGCTGCTGGGCTGCCATTGCACCATGTCCCCACAGCTAAAGATACTCCTCTTGCTTACACTGCCAGTCATTTTAGGTTTGGTATCAGTCACTGGAAAAAAGCTCATATCACACTGTTTCTGTCCTAGGGCTCCAAACACAACTTCTATTGCCCACTGCTGTTTTGATGATTGAACACTTCACTGCTTCTAACTTGTATGTCACTATTCTAAAGTTTTTAATAAGAAACTATACTGAACTCACTCCTGTTACAGGTGGCGTCAACTTCTATAAACTTGTCTGCATTTTAAGTGGATTAGTAGCAGCAGAAAGAATATTAAAAAAACCCCCAAACCGACAACCCAACATTTCTGGCTGTCCCAGAACTTCATCTAATGGAGCAGAAAACTGGAGTTTTTAGTCTATAATAATGCAAAGGGTGGTTGATACTAGGCAAATTTCTCTGTCACCAGACTACACTGAGGTACTTCATATGTTGCTCTATGTTTTGCTTACTTTAGGAGATTGAAGTAGAAGGTTGGCTGTTGGAAATGATGGTATTGCCTGGATAATCCCATACCCAGGATGCTCCTATACTAGCATTAGGAAAAACTGAATCTTTTATCCAGGCCAAGGCCACAGTAAGGTACCTTGAAATACTAGCTTTCCAAGAGCCTTAGCATCTCCTGTAACATAAACCAGTCATTACTGAATGGAGTGAAGAGGTTGTTTATGATTCTGGGCTTTATGATCCTGTTTCCCAAATGGGCACGAGTCTGTCACAAATGTCTCTAACTGCTGAGTACTACTCCTGGGTCTGGGCTGGGAGGGATGGTTGCTTTCAGCTACAAAGTACAGGTCTGTGCAACCAGTGTCCAAATTCCCTTTTGAGTGTCCGTCGTACATTCCCACTGCTTAGGCTTTTCCGCTTAGAAAACCTTCTCTGAGTGGCTCTCTGGAGACTTCACTTGCATTTCTCAGGAATCCTGTGCAAATTAAGTGCAGAAACCACAGGAATTTCCTTCACACACACACTTTAAGAAGGCAGAAAAGCTTTATACATCTGTGGGAAAGCAACCAACTCCCTCACACAGTCTGTGCTCCGAAATCTCAAAGGACTCTGATTTCTCTCCAGAGCCTTGTTGGAGATTCTCCTGCCTCTCTTGAACTAGATCCTTCTTCAGTTGCGAGTAGGCTTTTTGCACAGAAGACCAGCTTGTTGTGACCACTACTGTGTTAAGGGATTGCAATGGGTGGTCCCAGTTATGTTGGTTTACACACACAACACCCTTCCTGTTGGGCAGGATGGGTGAATAAGATAGGAGAATTGGATATGGAAATGAGGGTCCCTACATAAGGGATGGAGCATCATCCATGCTACGTGGACCTACCTGCATGTCTCTATGTTAAGTTATCTCCAGGTGGGATGCTCGCCCTCCTTTTCTAATCTTATCATGTATTACATCCTGACCCGTGTGCAGCTTGCATCCAGCTTGTTCTTCATACAGGAAAGAAAAAGAAAATCTGAGGTATGTATGTGTGTGTCTATACTTACATGCATGCCTACATCTGTTTGAGGTCTTACAAATATAGAGTACAATCACAAATGACATCATAAAACAAAATGTATGTGAGGATGTATAGCTTTTTTTCTAATGTTTCTGCTCTTTGTCATCCAGATATTTGGTAGACTACTTCCCAATTTGTAGCTTGTTTCTTATATATTTCCTCACCTCTGAACAAAATAGCGACAGTATAAATCTGAAGTAGAA